TCAAAAGGATAAAAACTAAGGGAGTAGGGAAAAAACTGCACAAAAATTACATTTTGCGAAAACCGACAATAATTGTGAAAATTCACTATATTAATCCATCCTTTTTTTTTTAAAGGCAATTTACCTGGAGAATAAAGTCTTTCTCAATTGTATCCATGCTATTTTTAGACAAAAAACAGGTTTATCTTAAAAAATCTGCCAATATAAAATGTGCATAGCCTGACCCAAAATCTGCAAAATCAAGGGTCGCTCCTCCCCTTAAGTGTTTTGAGCCATAATTTTAATTATTTAGTCGTATGCCATAGGTTTTTTTTTTCCAAATTCACATTTTCATGTAATTTTTCATGCCATTGTAAATTCTCTAACGATTTTTCCCAATTTAGACCTTTTTGTGCTATGATGCAAAAATCTCTTAATGACGGAAAGGGAGATTGGGCTGAGACAAATATAGTGAGTTGTCTTATTATCTCTGATTTCTTTAGTGAGCGATATCAGCAGCCTAGAAGTGTCAATAGTGCTAAAAAACTTCTACCCAGTTTAATTTAATTCTTTTGAGGGATGGGTTCCTGACTCAACAGCATCCATATGTCTGAGCTCCCTTGGGTCAGTGGCTGGACTTGTTTCACTGGTTACCCCAGACGGCAGGCTGAGGCACCAGAAGGGTGAAGGCAATGCACCATATGCTTTTGTTCTTAGAATTTAACCTTTGAACCCAGAGGCGTCTGTGGCCTAGTGGTTAGGCTACTGGTTCTGTAATTGTGAGGTTTGGGGTGTAGGGGGATTGAGCCTCAACTCGTTCTGATGTTGTGTCCTTGGGGAAAGGCACTTTACCCAAATTTCCCATTTGGTTTGGGAGTTCTCATGTCTTAAATAACCTAATAGTGTTGATAGGGACGTCAAACCTATATTAATACCATTTCCCCCTTTTCACCCTTTGAACCCTAAGCTCTTGAGTCTACCATAACCCCAAACCTGAGCATTTATCCCTAATGTTGATGATGGCTGGGACAGATCAGCTCGTCAAACACCTCACAAACTGCTTTAACCACACTTCTATCCTTCAAATCTCACCAGACAGACTCTCGATTACTTCCAATGTCAATCCCACACTGAATATCCCTTTGAATAGAATAAGAACCGCACAAACAGAGGGTGTTGCCAATCCCTCTAATGCAGGATGCTGGAGTGCAGGGAAATTAGAGCTGCCCTGCTAAAGCATGATACGGGGTTCAAAGGGTTAACAGAGGTGCAGATTTTCTGGATAAATTGGGGAAATTTGTATTTCTGAAATGATCCAGATTTTGCCAATTACTGTATCACTATGCCCAGATTTTGCCTGACTTTTTGATACAAGATGTATTAGGTGTATTATGATGAGTAAATTTTGAGTCCTCACCTGCATGTTTCCACGGGGTTAGAAAAATTCAGGATTCTTTTTTCATACCCAGCTGGCACTTCTGATTTGAAAGTTTGTTGTAAATTTCCTTTCACAGAGGGTAAGCAGTATCCAGACATCCCTGTGGAGGACTTTTTGGGCCATGTGAACCAGATGCACACTGACAGTGACATTGCCTTTGCTCAAGAGTTTGATGTGAGTACGATGACATCAGTGCCTCTTAAAAAAACCATTGGAATATGAACATTTTTCAAAGCTGATGTTATTGCATGTTTTGAACGAATCATCCTTGATATGCATTATGTACTTTTGTTGTGTGCAGTTGGAGTTTTGGAGGGGTCCAAAGGATAGGTTTCTGAGAAATATCTTTTTGAATATCAAATGATAAAGACTGTAAAGAGGGAAACAAAAGATGCGCAGTTCTTATTTTTCTGAAGCTACAATTTGTATTTTGCTGTGGGTTTCCATGGAAAGGCAGGAAATTCCTTATTTGGTATGTGTGATGCATTATGGTGTCATCAGGCACTCGTTAAAATACAGAAATAGGAGAAACAGGCATTTTTCCACCAGTTTGGAAATTTGTATCGAATTTTTATTTTTGGGCTCAACCTCTTTTATGTCTATATAAAAAGACATGCCATTGTGAATTTTACTGAAAAACATTGATTACAGGCATAAAATTTGTCATTTTTCTTTTTTCAAGGACTCTTTAGCTATTGGAGTTTCCAAACTTTGGCGGCCATTTTCTTGCTAATTTCACCACTCAAAACCAGGCGACCTCACTTCCTTCAATCACAAATATCTTGAGTTCTGTTCAAGATAGATGGATATTATTTCATTTGAAGCAAGGCAAATAAATCAGCTTTCAGATGATACCAATAACTCCACATGCCCATAAATTGACGAGCGCCTGATTCCATACCGTCGTGACACATATTACTATAGAGGGATGGTATAAAAATCCCCTGGTGGGGTAAATTGTTTCATTTTTGGGCAACTTTTGTTGGATATATGTCCTCAAAACATTTTTTAAAAGATTATGTAAAATCGTTACTTTACGAAATCCTCTTATATTATGATTTAAAAATGGTTTGTCTCTTTGTATTTTGGAAGACCTTTTTTGGGGATAGAAATAAAATTGTGGGTCTGGTATGCACTGTACTTGTACAAATTGTACTTATTTTCCTCCTTGACGTTTTTGTGTTTTTGATGCAGGAGATCAACCGGGCCTCATGCAGTGACAAGTACCCTTGTGACCACTCCAACCACTCGGAAAACAGAAACAAGAACAGATATGTCAACATTGTGGCCTGTGAGTAACCTGGGCCCAGAGGCTAGCCTAATGCTGTCGTTTTTTTTAAAAGGAAAATGTGTTTGGGTTTCTTATGATATGATGTGTTCTAAGGGTCTTGAAATTTTTTATGGTTATTATTTTTCTTGTAGATTTCTTAGTTGTTGTTTTGGTTATTTTTTAAATTTTTTTTTGGGGGGGGGGGATATTGTACCCCTGCTTAAGCCCTCTGTCTTGTCTGTCCTCAGTCCATAATGCAGCAATCCCTTCTCACAGAGTCACCACTTTAAAAAAACATGTTTCTGGAGTTTTGGAAATGTGGGTGGTTGGTGGGTGCTTTTATGTGGTTTTGCTCCTTTTTTTCCTGTCAAACATCTATCATCCTATCTTTGTGTTTGTTACTCTCTTGTCTTCGGCACTTATACGACCTAATTGTGTTACAAGCGCCGTAAAACGCTTACTACAACAAGAAACATTTTGGTTTGTTTATTTTTCATGATTTATTGTTTCACTATATCCAATGGCGTGGGCTGATCTTTTTGTTTTTCTCAAGTGTCACAATGATCCTAATCTATCTGTAGCAAAATGTGGCCATTTTTATGTTGACTCGCAGGGACATTGGACTGTGCATTTCATTACAGGGACCAGATTCAAATTATCAGATTTGTCTCGAAGGACGATATAAACAACCAATATGAATATTGCGGCCAAATTCAAAGCAAGAGGTATTGTAACAATCCTGATATCAAGATGAAGATTTTTAATCTGCTTTAAAAAAGATCTTTTTTATGGCCATCTATGCTTAAGACTGTGTTGTACCCCCACACCCAAAAAAACCGACATACAAACAAACCAAACAGTATGAAACAAAAAACTGATGTTCTTTTCACTTCCTCGTCAGATGACCACTCGAGAGTGGTGTTGCTCAAGGCAGAGATGGGCAGATTGCGGCAATCAGACTATATCAATGCCAACTATGTGGATGTGAGTCTTGTATTCCGTCTTTTTAATCTGTTCAGTTTTTAGGTTTGAAAAGTTTTTGACAATGGTATCAATCTTTAGTTCTCGATATTTGTGCAATCGTTTACCTGATTTTTAATACTTTAACGTGGACTGAGTTTTGATTCTGTCTGTTTATCTTTGTTTTTAAATCTATGTTTTCTACTTCTCAATGGGTGGTTGGTGAGCAAACATCTATCATCCTTATCTCTTCACCTTCTTTTTTGTGTTTATTACTCTCTTGTAACACTTCTAATCTTCAGCATTTTTATGGCCTATTGTGTTGCAAGTGCTGCAAAACTCTTACTAAAACAAAAGAAAAAAAAACAACCCAAAAAAAACACCTACTCCTCATCCCCTCAGGGCTACAAGAAACCCAAAGCTTACATAGCCACCCAGGGCCCTCTGCCGCAGACCTTCCCAGACTTCTGGCGCATGGTGTGGGAGCAGAACACCAGCGTCATCGTCATGATCACAAACCTCATGGAGAAAGAACGGGCAAGTAGCTGCTGTGTTTTGTACTGAATCGATGTCTTGTTTTATTTCTGGACAACTATAGCCAGTATGCTACCTTAGGATCACTAAGTTCCATCTGACCCTTTTCTCCGTTTTGAGTTCCTGAGACCATGGGGTCAAAAACTGAGTGATCTATCTGCTCTGTCAAAATTGTATGAACATTTGGAGTCGTTATCATGATATTCAAATAATTGCAGTAGAAAAAGCTTGACATGTTGTGGAACCCAAAATTTTTCTCTTAAAATTTCTCAAAACTAGGTACTGAGCAGATAAAACTGTAATTCTAAGGTAGCAAGTAGTCAGGGTGGTGGGGAATGGGCGATGTGAGCCCTACCGGGACTACAGGGTGGCAAAGCAGATAGGTGTTTCAGTCTCATGAAAACCCTTTACCCTCCTATCTTCAACATTCATGACCTCTTTTCAGTGTTGGCAGGCATTCCATAGACACCGGTGTAGTCAATGCCATGACAAAAAAACAAGTTTTATTCCTGGTGAAATTGCTGAGCTTCAAGTTGGCTGGCATAGTGATATTAATAGTCAGCTGTCCTGCCAATAGTTGCAAGTTTGAATCCAGATTGAGGCCCAAGCTTGTCTCCTTAGGAAAGACACTTTAGTCAAATTTTCCTCCCTTTGCTTGAGTGGATGTGGGTAGGCTTCTAAGATAGCCAAAGATCCTGAAGATACATAAGCGTTTGAGCGCCTGTAAAATTGGTGGCTTGCACTGAATGTTTCTCTGGAGGCTGAAAATGTTCCTGGAATTTGTAAGAGTATTAATGAATTAAAGCTAGTTAAGCTTACTTTCGAGCTGGGTTGAGTGCTATATGAATGCCATCTATCATTATTATTGCCATTATTATTATTGTCATTATTATCACTTTTATAATAATAATGATAATAATTGTGGTTATTATCTTTATTATTATTTCAATTGTTATTATATTGTTATTATTATTATTATTTATGTTGCTGCTTTGTGGTCTAACCGTGTGCTTCTCGTGTCCTCAGAGAAAATGTGACCAGTACTGGCCCAGCGACGGCGTGGAGACGTACGGCAGCATGCAGGTGAAGCTGATCACCACGGTACCCCGTGCTCACTATACTGTCCGCGTCTTCTCGCTCAGGAACATGAAGGTAAAAAAGGTACGCATGCCTCTCCCTCCCCACCCCGTGTGGCCAGCCGGTGGGAACTGCCTGTGGATGTTGTTGTCCCGGGCTGGCCTTGGTGTTGTGCGCCCACAGGGAAACTTTGGTATACTTATTGGTAACAAGACTCCTGAACTTTAAACTCTGAACTTTGGTGCCTGAACCTCCATTCCCGTTTACTTATTCCTGGGGGGGTGGTGGTGGTGTTTGTTTAGCCTTAAGGCCCGAAATTCTTTTGAAGTTAGAAAAATATACAAAAAGTTTTTCGAAAGAACTTGATTAAGAAAAACAGAGGAGAGCTGATATTTATAACAATAGCTCTTTGTACTTGAGTGCATATGTGGGAAATTTATGAGGGTTTATGGTGTAACAATCAGGTTGTCCGCATTTGCTTATGAAAGATGTAAGTGTTTGGTTCTCATGTAGGGAAACCACTCAACTTGGATTGCCCTCACAGATGGGGGTCAAAAGCAACCCATCCTTTAAATGCTTTAAATTGAGACAAAGGGGCTGACAGCATTTATAATCATGTGGCTGAAACATTCATATGTGTCAGTGCTTTAGCTAGCATGGAGTGGTTCATATGATTGTAGGGTAGGTTTAGATTAGAGCTGCCAACCCTATCTTTTAGTTGAAATGGGTTTATTTTCACCCCATGGCAACATATTAGCAATCACAGCTTCTGCGAAGCATTAAAAATTCTTGAAGGTTACTTTCCTTTTACAAGCGCTTGAATTTGAAAATGAAAATACTACGGTTTTGCACCAAAGTGATGAGTGATGAATAAAAGGTTTGATAAAAGTGTCCATAAGCTGTCAGCATTTCATGAAGATCCGATTCTGTCATTTGAAGTGGAATGCTGCTAAGACGGGCTTGCAAAAGTGTTGCTTTGCTTCAAGAGCTGTAACAGCACTTAAGTCCACCCTATGGAAGCTTGGTGCATTGCTCCCTCAGCAGTGAGGATAAAGCAGAAGGAGACGAACGACAGAAATAAAAAATTAGTCCAGATTCTCTGAAGCTTCACATGAGAAACCTTTCCTTATATGAAGGTAAAGATATCAAAGTTTTGCTGTTAGTTTTGCCCACTTTGTTTCTTAAATATTTTCTAAAAACGGTTTCAGTTGGTTTATCTTTGCCTTAATTTTATTGGTTGCTTAAGGTTTATTTCGTTGTTTTTTTCTTATGGTCATGCAAAGATGTCAGCTTTTTGAACTGTCTTTTAATCCTTTTTCTTGTCATCTTTATTAAATTTACTTTTCTTTTTTGAATATCAGTGGATGTTGAACCCTTGTGAATGTTTGTGCTGTTCCTTGACAGTTACCTGTATTGCTTTATATTTTTTAGATAGAGTTCTTTTTTTCCCTGCCCTTTTTTTTTTGTCAAAAAAGAAATTGTTTTGTTGATAAATTTGATTCAGATATGTTTGTTCATAGCGTTGTCCTTAAGAACACATATAATATATTTTTGGTTAGATTTGTGAATGACAGTGTAGTATCACTTGACTGTTAATTTTATTCAAAGCACAGACATAGTCACTATTTACAGAGTATTCTGACAGCACGACACATTCATATTTTGTGAAGATGCAAGATAAAAGCGAATAATGGAAAAAGGATAGTACTATTTTGGTGGTAACAACTTCATGAGGGGCGTTTTGTAAAGCAGTCACATCATTTTATTAGATGAACTGTTAAAGTGGTAATGGTAATGTACTTGACTCATTGCCCTTCTATGTGTAAAATATGGCGTTAAAAGCATTGCACAAGCCTGTTTGCTGGAAAAAGGGTTTAGGTTAGCCCTGCCTCGTAATGTCATTATATATTACTGTCAGACAATGTGTAGTCGAACCTGTCTAAGACGATCACCCATTGTCATAAAGTCTAGAATGTTGCAGACCAATTTGCCAACAAAAAGGTATTGGGAAGTTACCTTTTCTCTTGCAGGCTTACTCTCTTACTGTCTCATTTTGTTTTAAAAGAATTGCGTAGTTGGAAAATTGAATTGAATTTTTAGAATTTTAATGAACATAGCACAGTTGCCTTTGAATTGTGCCTTTTTTATTTGCAGCATGAGCATAGTTGTTTCTTTTTGCCTTGTAATGTTTGTCTCAGACATTTTTCTGCATTTTAAATTTCATGTTTCTAAATTGCTTTGCATGGTTAATTTTTTTTAAGATCCATTTATAATCGTGGAATTAGCAGTGTCAATATAATTACCTAATCAGTTGTATGCTATCAGCAGCATCAGTATTATTTGGGAGGCGTTGGGATTCTTTATGTCGAGACCAGAGGGTTTTATTCATAGTGTCTTTTTAAAGATTTTTTTACGAAACAAAAACAAAAAAAAACATCTAAGAAGAGAAACTTGAAACTTAATGTGTCTTTCTTTGTGTGTGCACATTGAATTCTTTCTCTTGTACCTTTTTTCTTGGAAGCTAGTAAGTTTTTAGCTGATATATGTGTCTATGGAAATGTTTCCACTGACTTGTGTCTATGACCCTTTGTCATTTGTATCTGTTGTTGAATCGGTCCACCTTGAATGTGATACAAGCTCAGTCAATCGTATTCCTGATTGTCGCACGACTCAAGTTTAAATCACCAAATGGTCATTTTTTAACACATCCATTTTCTCTTGGCTCAGCGCTGTCGAAGATAGACTTACTCATTGAAGCATTAGCTTTGTAACATGCTGTACAAACTTCAAATAACGGATTCTGTATCTCTTGTTGGGTTGAAATTGAACTAACAAAATTGATATTCTCTGATAAGTAAGCACAAAAATGTCTGCTGTTAATTTTTCAGCACAGTATGTTACTTTTGTTCAAATGGCCACACAGTACATGTGAGGTTTCGTGGTAAAATCAGGCGCTTGTCAAAATAATGAAATCTGAGAAATTTGCATTTTTCGACCAGTTTGGAAATTTAAAAAATTTTTAATTATTTTTTTTTTTTGCTCGATGCCTTGTACGTCCATTCAAAAACACTTTTATTTTGTGTGGATTTTATGGGAAAACATTGATTAAAGGCACAACAAATGTAAATTTGCAGTTTCCAAGGACTCTTAAGCTATGATAGTCACCAAACTTTGGCGGTCATTTTCTCACTAATTTTACTTCTGGAAATTAGGCTACCTACCCCACTTCCTTCAATTGCAAATATCTCGACTTCTATTCAAGATAATTTGATATTTTTTCCTTCTAAAGCAAGGCAAAAGAATAACCTTTAAGATGATGCCAATAACTCCACATGCCCAAAAATTGACGTGTGCCCGATTCCACCGCGTTGTGACACATATGTCAACTAGTTTTGTGCAGGGTTTCTGATGGAAGATCATTTTGTTACTTTTTGGAAAGGGGACATGATGCTTATTTTTTTAATGATGCCTCTGCTTTTTGTTTTAAAAAAGAAAAGTTAGGATCTATTTTCACCTACGTCTAGTAGATTGGAAAACTTGGCAACTTTTCCTGTCCTTTCTAAGGAAGCCATGTCTGGATCGATAACAACAAGGGAGCCATGTATGTTCTTTTCCACACAAATGAAAATTGAGCTCATTTTCTTTTACAGTTTTTAGCTGGGCAATCATTACCCTCGACCTCCTCTTTTTAAGAAAAAAAGAAAAGAAAAGAAAAAGAAAAAACCTCAGCTCATTTTTAAAGGTTCGTTTTGTCCTTGATTGGTTGAAAATTACAGTTGTCACAGAGGAGCTGTGACAGAGGAGTTGATTTTCAGGAGAAATCTGGAAATGAAGATTTCTGAAATTATCCAGATTTTTCTTGACTTCAGGAAGATTGTTGTGAAGTATAAAAATATCCCTGATAATAGGTGTATTGGACAATATGATCCGCTTCCTTGAGGTCCAGTTGGCACATCCGTGTTAAATAGTTTGATTTGTTGTTTTTTTGTTTACTGATTTGGATATTGTATCATTAATCAGTTAACTCCTTTGCTGAGGCTCTCTAAGAAAGTCATTTGTTTTTGTTTTCGTGAAAGAACTTAGAATTTTTGACTTTGTTGTTTACTTTAGAAGATTTTTCGAAAAATTATAGTTTTGTAAAAATGTATTGCTGAATTTTATGTCTATTGGTGTTGGTTGTCGTAATGATTTCTCCGGCATATTTCTGTGACATAGTAAGATTCTATTTTGCTTCTATATTCATTTTGTATGCTTGTTCCGTGCCTCAGCGCCACTCCATGAAGGCCTCGGCGGAGCGCACTGTGTACCATTACCACTACACAGAGTGGCCAGACCACGGCGTGCCCGACTACTCCCTCCCTGTGCTCTCCTTTGTGCAGAAGTCTGCTGCCCAGAGTGGCCCCGAGCATGGACCTATCATAGTTCACTGCAGGTGAGGGAGAGAGAGACAGATAGAAGAGTGTTGTCCATATTTGGGCGGGGAAGTTGTATCCTTGTCTTATCTTATTGAGTTTAAGGCCTTAACTTGCCATGTTTACTGCAGGTGAAGGTGCATAATAGTGCACGAGTGTTTTTCATTTTTAGGTAGTGAAGTTAGATCTTTGTCTTTTCAAGTGGGTGGCTTTAACACCCGATTGACCACTGATGAGTAGACGGTACTTGTCTTGAAGATAGATTTTATTAAACAAGCCTCTCCGACGTTTTGTATCTAATCTTTTCTTCCTCTTTGTTGTTTTTTAATGTGTGGTGTCTGTGGCCTAGTGGTTAGGCTTCCGGGCTCGTACTCACTTCACCCAGGTTGGAAAGGGTACCCGGCCATAGACAGCGAAAGATCTTGTCAGTATGTTAGTGTCTTAGCGCCTATAAATGGCTGCTGGCACTGTATACTTCCCAGGAAGTTGAGGTTGTTTCAGAATGCTCTCAGGTCTGCTGTGTAATAGTATAGATTGTGAAGTGCATAGAGCTTGCTGTTGAGCTAGGATTTGTGCTATACAAATGCTATGTATTATTATTATTTGTCAATATTACTTTTTCCAGCTATAAATAACCTCTATTGTGTTTGTCGATGGGCGTCTCTGTACTCAAACAAGCTCTTTTTGGCAGGTGATTGGTAGGTGCTCTGGTGTGGTTTGCTCCTTCTTTCCTGTCATATATCTGTCTTCCTGATCTCTCCCCCTTTGTGTTTGTTACTCCTTTAAGACCCCTTATCTTCGGCATTTATGTGACCTTATTGTGTTGCAAGTGCCGTAACACTCTCACTAAAACTAAGCTAAACTCTTTGTTTTGCATGCTGCAGTGCGGGGGTGGGCCGGACAGGCACGTACATCCTCATCGACAGCATGATGGCTCAGATCCAGGACAAGAAGAGCATCAACATTCCAGGCTTCACCCAGCACATCCGACGGCAGAGGAACTTCCTGGTACAGACAGAGGTACGTCGTTTGCTATTATGTGTGGGGAAGGATACAGAACATTGGTGTAAATTATGAGATTTTATAAAATGTACTTGTTGGCTGCTTAGTACAAGGCTTTGCCATCCACCATTTTGAAAAGTGATTTAGGATGGAGTCTAACACGGAGCAGTTGTTGTGGATTCTTGCTTTGCCTTTCTTTTACTCAAGAAGTTGGCTTTTTTTAGAAACTTGGCATTTTTATTCTTTAGTGTGTGGCCCTGTATATCTGGGGAGCACACATGGATATCTACGCAGACTCCAGCCTGCTGGAGAGACAGTATTCACTGGTGCGTGCACACACACACACACAGACCCAAACATGGGTATGTGGGTATGTGCCATGCTCACACACACATGCACACACACACACACACACACACACACACACACACTCACACACACACACACACACACACACACACACACACACACAAATATCAAACACATTCTTACATACACATAAATACCCTGTCCCCCTCAACTCACTCATATGATATGTTCAAGTTACTGATTGTGATTGTGCTGACTTACCCCTCACCACCAAACATTACCCCCCCCCCCCCCCCCCCCCTCCAGGATCAGTACATCTTCATCCATTCTGTGCTGGTGGAGTACTTGCTGGGGGGCGGGTCCACCGAGGTGCGTGACGAGGCCCTGATGGATCACATGGACCAGCTACAGCGACCCTCCAAGAGCCTCCTGCTGCCCTCGCTCACCACCTCCAGCCTGCTGGAGAGGCAGTATCAGGTGAGTGGACGGTTGTTGTGGGTACCTCACCTCCTCCTCCTCCTCCCAGACTTCACTTCCTCCTCGTCCTTGTCCTCACTCACCTTCTCCACCTCCTCCTCCCTCATCTCCTCCTCCCTCACCTCCTCCAGCCTGCTGGAGAGGCAGTTTCAGGTGAGTGAATGGTTGTTGTAGGTATCTCACCTCTTCCTCCTCCCAGACTTCACTTCCTCCTCGTCCTTACCCTCCCTCATCTCCTCCTCCCTCACCTCTCCTGCTGCCTTCGCTCACCACCTCCAGCCTGCTGGAGAGGCAGTATCAGGTGAGTGGACCGTTGATATTGTTGTAGGTGTCCTAACCTTTGTCCTCTTCCTCCTCCTCCTCCTCCTCCTCCTCCTCCTCTTCCTCCTCCTCCTCCTCTTCCTCTGATCTCACTTCCTCCTCCCTGTTCTCGTCCTCTGACCTCACTTCCTCCCTCCCACCTCCTGCCCTTGCCCATGACCTCCAGCCTGCTGGAGAGACAGTATTAGGTGAGTGCACGGTTGATGTTGGTGGTACAGTGAGTGTGCTGACTCTCACTTTCTCCCTCACCGCCTTCTCATTCTCCTCCTATTCCTCCTTCTTTCCTTCCTCTTCTTCCTCCTCCTCCTCGTCCTCCTACTTCCCAGCTTGTTGGAGAGACAATAAAAGGTACGGGCGGACATTTTTGGAGGCGCTGTGATTGTGCTGACTCTCCCCTTCCCTCTCACCTTTTCAGCCTTTTTCTTCTCCTCCTCATTCTCCTCCTTACTGATGCTACCACTACTGCTGCTAAAAACTATCCAAGACTGCTTTCAGTCCCCACTACCAACGGGGACAGCAATACAGCTCTTTCATGTGACTTATTAAGTCTTTTCAGGAAGTACATGAATGATGGTATATGGGAGAGTGGGGAAGGGGGGGGGGGAGCAGATAGAGAAAGAGATCTTTGTAAACAACAGTCTTTATCTTTGTTGTACCTTGACGAACTCGTATATATGTGGTCATGAAGTAAGCAAAGTGTCATTTGGATTGTAATTGTTCTTTCTTTTACTGCAAATAAACAAGGATTTTAAAAAATACCCGAGCTTTATCTTGTCTCACAACTTCTGTGTTTTGCTTCCCCCACCCCTTCTAGCTCGTCACGGAGTACACCCCCAGCGAGCAGGACATGGCGGCCGCCCTGAAGCCCTTCAACCAGGAGAAGAACAGGCTGGGCAGCATCCTGCCCGTCAACTTGAAGAGGGTCCTTCTGCCGGCGCGGCCTGGGGTGGAGGGTTCCAACTATATCAATGCTACATATTTGCAGGTTGGTGTCAGAGTATGCACTGGAATAATTGTAATAATAATAGTAATAGTAATAATAGTAATAATGATAATAATAAATAGCATTTGTTTGACGCAAATTTCAGCAAGGTCTGTGTGCTTCATAATTTGTATCATTTTCCTTGTAGACCTGATAACATTCTGAAACAATCTCAATTTCCTTGGAAACATGCAATGGAGGCTGTCATTTTACAGGTACTAAAACACTTAATATACTGAGAAGATCTTTAGCTGTCTCATTCCGGGTACCTATTCTCACCTGTGTGAAGTGAAGAAAATTTGTGTAAAGTGCTTCACACTGGATTTGGTTCTGTCATAGTGGGGCTCTTTTTTTTTAGTTCTTACCATTTGAAAGTCAGGAGTTTGATTTTCTCATGGGGAAGCCTGCTTTATGGAGTGTCTCCCTTCTTTCTGCTGGGATACATTTCATGAGTAAGATATGAGTTTGATTTCTATGTGAGAAGTCTATTTTATCAAGTGTTGAGTCTTGGGGTAATGTTCCTGCTCAGTCCAGGTTGAACCTGAAAGAAAGGTTTAGGGCAGCCCTCTTATTAAATCTTTCAAGCTGTCTCCCTTTTTTCTGCCTTTCTTTCTTTTTCACTGCATAAAACAGCTGTTAATGTTGTGATGTGCTCTCTTCACCTAAATTAGAACTCAATACTCAAAATGTGTGGGTTGTTGGTAGGTGCGGTGGTGTAGTTTGCTGCTGCTTTCCTATCAAACATCAGGCGCTCTTATATCTCCTCCTTTTATGTGTTTGTTACTTTCTTGAAACACCTCTGTTCTTCAGTACTTATATGACCTAACTGTGTTGCAAGTGCCGTAAAACACTTATTAAACAGTGCTTCCACTCTTCCGTATTTTTACGGAAATCCATACTTTCTGCCAGTTCCGTACTTATTCCTCCATCATTATCAACTCCCTCCGAAAAAAACTGCGACTGCGTAGGCCTACCGAAATTTCGTAGCAAAAGAACCATACTCGACTTACTGCCGTCTTGTATAAATTACGGATATTTACAGTAATTCTCTCGGCAATAAGTTAATGTTATAGAGACCTGCCAGATTGCGCATTTCCTGCAATCGGCCATATTATTCCGCCATGCCCAATGCATTCATTGCGGGTTTCTAGGCAGAACAGTTTTACCTGCAGATTGATCAAAATCTGGTGAACTTTTTGTTCCAATTTCCCTCTTTCTATCATTCACTCATTCCGTCTATCTTCGGACTGTTGCCACGGCTGGAAAATATGCGCGTTGATCAAGTAAATTGATTTGTGATCTTAGACAGAAAATAACTGTCAGAAAGAAACTTGCTTGCAAATTAATTGTCTAGATCTAGAAAAATTTTCAATGCGAAGATTCTACAGCGCGGGAACGCGAATAGGGCCGCAATGAAAGAAATCTATGCTAAAACTACTCAAATCCAGAATAATTCGAAGTGGTGTTCCCAGGTTGTGACATACAACATTTAGAAGTGAAAATTGGAGGAAATTAGGTTATTCGCTGGGTAACTGTATTGTGAAGGTACATATCTATTCATTATTCCCAGGTTTGCCTTGAATCAATGGTGCGATGACAAATAAATTGAATTATAGTAGCAATGGAAGGGGAACCTGCTTTTAAACATTGCCCGCATTAGGTGAAGAAATCAAACAAGACAAATGTTGACGAACAAATACATGTTGTGAGTTGTAGGCAATCTCTTCAAACAGGCTCCCAAATGCCATTTTTAACCCTCTAAAAGCACTAAATTTCAATTTCTTCGGGGGCTTTGCCCCCTGAACCCCCACCGGGACGCTGTCCCTGGACCCTTGTGGGGATGCGGCCCCTAGAACCCCGGCAGAATTTTCCTTACTTTTCAGCTTCAGCTGGTGGAAGCACTGATTAAAACAAAAGTTAAAAATGTGTCCAAATCATGCTCACTTGCCTGAAATTATAACTCAGCAGCAATATTCAATCACTTCTTCTGTGTTGAGAAGGTGGTTGGAGGGTGCCACTGGCAGATCCTACTTCTTTACTTTTACTCTGTTGATTCTGTCTGTCTGTTGTCTTACTTTTTCCCAGCACTAAAGTACTGTTATTGTGTCGATGTGCTTCTCTTTACTCAAACAAACAAACATTGGGTGTTGCCAGGGCTACCGCAAGTCTGCCGAGTTCCTGGTGACGCAACATCCAACAGTGGACACCATGGAGGACTTTTGGCGCATGGTCTGGGACAAGAACTCGCCCGTCATCGTGGTGCTCTCTGAGTTTGATGATATTGTGAGTACACACACGCACACTCGCGCGCTCACACACACACACACACACACACACACACACACATTGTTTTTATACAAGGCTAGTTACATTTTTAAGACTGAAAATAGAGAAAGGATGGAGAAAAGTGGTTGCCCGGTCATCTTTGGTGCCTCAATGGTAATCTAGACTAAGGGATAATTCCTAATTATAATTCCTAGTTATGTTAGTATTACTTTACTTTTTACTTTTTTCTGTCCTCTTGTACCACAAGGTGTCAAGGTGTGGAGGAGAGGTGCAATTGCAGATAGTTGTGGGTCAGGTGTGTTGTGGCGTTGCCTTTTGGATTGTCATGTTGCTGTTTTAGAGGGTCTCTTTGACTCTGGCGATCCCATCTTTTTCTTGCTCTTCCTTTTGCCTCAAAGCAGTCAAATCTAATATTGTAGGATTTTGAGGCTGGCTGTTGTTGCCCCATTCTCATGTGTCCAAACCATTTGGTTTGTTGTCTTTCCGTGTAGTTACATACGTAGTGGATTTTTAATGACCCAACTTACTTCTTGCATGAAAGCAGATTGTGTCCGATCTCGCTTTATTAGAGATGGCAAGTGTCCCCCCACCCCCATTTTGTTGTGTGTAATGGTGGGGGTGTTTCCAGGATGGCCTTGTACACCCTAATAAACAACACTGTTGGGGTTTGCTTTTGTTAACACGGTTGTCCTTGTGGATATAGGGGTCCATGTGTTGGGCTTTGTTCTTTTCTTTCCCACTGTTGTTTCTGTCTCGAGTACTGTGGGTGGTTGATTTGTATATTTCTTTCTTTTTAAGTGCTGTTGTTAAGTTTATTTGTATAATGTTTCTATTGTCTTGAGTACTGCAGGTGGTTGATTTGTGTATTGTTTCTTTGATTTTGAGTACTGGTGTCAGTTTATTTGCATAATGTTTCCATCATCATGAGTTACAGGCGATTGATTTGTAAATTGTTTATTTCCTCTTCAGTACTGTTGTTTGGATGGTGGGCACTCTTGTGCGCTCTGCTATCTCGTGTCATTTTCAGTAATTGTATTTTTCTTGCTTTGCATTTGTGTGTAGGAGTACAAGGAGTTCTGGCCCCCCAAGGGCAGCAGTATAGAAGTGGACGCAGGGAACTTTCGCCTGACCATGAAGGAAGAGCCCGTTGCTAATGAGGGGCAAGGGTTCGTTACCTATGAGTTCATCCTGGATTCCATTCAGGTGGGTAGCTTTTTTTCGGTGGCCACATTTATGTTGGAGCTTTGTAACTTATGGAAATGCTTTATATAAATGACATGTACTATTATTATTATTATTTCGATAAAATTGCAAAACTGGTGGAAAAAAGCCTTTTTCTTCGATTTCATTATTTTGATGACTGCCTGATTTCACCACAATGACTCACTATTATCATCATTGTAGTTGTTATAATAATAATGTTTTCATGTTTTCTTCTTTTTCTGATAGTTATTATTGTCATTGTTATAATGACAATGTTATCTTATTTTCTTCTTTTAACAATTATTATTATTATTATTGTTATTATTATCTTTATTATTATTGTTATTGTTATTTTTATCTTTTTTGTTATTGTTACTATTATTGTTGTAATTGGTATTATTGTGGGGGGTTTTTCAGTATGACTACACGCTGATGACGCGCATCATCTGTGTCAGCGGCTGGCCTAGCATGTGGGAGGGCCACAGTGTGTTCAGCCCCATCTGCCACGCCTTCGACTTCCTCAACTCACTAGAGTGTGGGCCCATCGTGGTCATGGACAGGTTAGTTGGGAACCAAGTTTGAACAGGTCAATTCTACAGACCTGGCACACGCTTATGTGCCTGGAGAGTCCCTTATTGTAAGCGCCAGTATGCGCACATGTGCATAATTTAAAAGTGTATAATTTTGAAGCTAAAATACGAGCTTAACCATTTAGTTGTCAGGGGGTATGGGTTCCTACTGTCAGCACTGATTTTCAGTTGAGCTCGTTAACCAGGATAGAAGTCTCTTGTCTTAGTTAATTGACTCACGGTCTAGATTTAGCCCTTTCTTGACATTTCGGATCCTGTTTTTTAAAAATTGTGTCAATTTTCTCACACTTCTCATTCCATTCATTATCGATTACTTACAAGCCTAGCAGTAGAGCAACACTAGCAAATTTTATACCAATATGTGCGTCTTTTATTCCAGAATACAAATCCCTGCAGTACTTGTGCTAAAACTCCGTACAGAAGAATCAGAGCCAAGTGATTAGCGTGCCCTCCATGTAACGTCATATAGGCAACCACGAGTGGCAAATTTTGCCAACTTGCGTGGCGTACATGGTGCGCCACACGGCCAAAAATGACATATTTTTACTACGTACCTACACGTACGTAGGTCGTAAGGGAACGAAGGGGTTAAAACAGGGCTAGCTAATCTATTATATTGTTATGCCTTCCTTCTCCTTTTTCATCGACCCCATTCTCCTCATCCTTCCCCCGCCCTCCTCTTCCTTCTCCTCCCCCTTTTGTCTTTTCATCTTTCTCTTCTTTGCTTATCCTACTCCCTCCCCTATCCCATCTCCTTTGCCCAGGTTTGGCGGTGTGGAGGCCGGTCAGTTCTGTGCGCTGTGGACTCTCCGTGACCAAGTGTTGTCGGAGAAGTGTGCCGATTTCTATCAGGTGGCCAAGCTGTATCACTACAAGCGGCCGGGGATTATTGGGAAACAGGTGAGCCTATATCTGCTGAATTTTTAGTTTGTGCTGGCCTTTTTTTCTTTTTTTTTTTTTTTTGTGTGTGGCTGATATATCAATGTGTTTGATAGCACCCTGTGATGTCATTTCTTGTATGCAGGAAGGTTTTTTGTGGGTTTTAAATTTTTTTATTATAATTGAAATATCAATGTTAAAAAACATGACATTTTTATAGCTGATGTATCAGGATGTGAAATAGCACCCTGTATCTCCTCTTCTTCACAGGGTTTTTTTTTGTGTGGTTCTAAATGACTGATGTCTCATAGTTTTTAAAAAAATGTCGTATATCTCCTCTTTCTTCTCTAGATATTTTTATGACTAATGTGTCTCAGTGTTCAAAAGCACCCTATGTCTCCTCTTCTTGTATGCACTAGATTTTTTTGTGACTGATATCTCAATAATCAAAGGAATCCTTTACCTCCTCTACTTGTTTGCGGGATTTTTTAAATATAATGACAGTGGTGTAGAGCAGTGTTGAAACAGGGCTGAGAATTGTCAGCGTAAAGGCGGAATTCTGCTCATTGCAACACCGCCGTAGGCTCATCCGAACGCCTCTTTTGCCTTTTTCCCCAGAGTTTCGTATTATAATAATGTTGTAAAAATAAAAAAACGAATTGAATAAAAAAACAAAAACATAATAATTTTAGTTTTTTAACTGCTCGCTGGACAAAACCGAGGTGCATACGCATCCGCGTATCGGCAGATACCATTCAATCGAGTACTTTATATTCTTCTTCATTACTGATAGAATCGCATTCAGTTGTGACAATCGAGTACGTAACAAGATTGTTAACTCAACCAACACAAGTGTCCGCGGAAGTCCGTGCATTGCTTCAGATGGTGCTGCAGTCTTTGTTTTGAAGCTCTATTTGGTTTCTCCAGAAGAAGAATAGGAATAGCACAGTTTGTTAGTTTCACTTTTGTTGTTTTTCACACAAGTAGGGTAACTGTTCACAAAGTCAGATCTTTTTCGAAGAGGGTGCATTTGAATTTTGAGGACACTTTTTTAATTGGCTCAAAGACAGGAATGAACTATCTTGTTATACACCACCTGTGCTTTGGCCCATGCATGTCACAACACTGTAACCTTTTTTTAGGGGGAGGGGGGGGGGGTTCTTGTCTGCTTGTTCTTCATCATGGCGAAGCGCACTGTTGGTATTCTTTCGAGAGGAGATAAGTTTGATGATGGTGATGTCAGTAACCCGTCGTGCTGGGAATATTTTTTTCCCATCTCAAGAATGATGTAGATTCTATGTACAATGTATAGTAATGGTTTATTTTCTTTTTGACAGTATTTGGGAAGTTATTATTTTTCTCTAAAATTAGGGTGACAAATAAGACCTCAAACCCTTCCAAAATATTCCGATTTAGCTATTTTATGCCTCGTTTTTTCAAAATTTTCCGGGGGGACAACCCCCTAGTTTTTAGCCTTTTTTGTGGTATGCCATTGTCAGCCCTGTTAAACAACCCTCAATAAAACATCTTCGTTTTTCATTGGGATTTGTTACTTTATTAACATCTGGTTTGTCTATTTTTTTTGTGGGGTTACTATCATCTCTGTCTTGATGAGTTGGTTGTTGGTGGGTGGTCTGGTGTGTTTTACTCCTTTTTTTTCTATCAAGCATCTATCATTCTTATCTCTCCGCCTTTTTTTGTGTTTTTACTCTCATGGTACACCTCTAATCTTCGGCACTCATTTGACCTAATTGTGTTGCAAGTGTTGTAAAACTTAAAGTAAAAAAAAAGAATCGTCTTGACATGAGTGATTTTTGGATACTCTTATGCCGTCTGCTCCTGCTTTTACCTTTCAGTATTTGTTGCTTTTTACTGATGTTTGTTCTGTGTGGTTGCAGGAGGACTACCAGTTTCTGCACCGTGCCATGGCTGCTTTCTACAAGCACTGTCGGGAGGAGCATGCCGCCAATGGTAGCTCCTCCCCACGACATCACCATATAGACATTTTCCACCACAACTCGGCCCGCAAGAATGGCACCCTCCCTCGCAGCAATGCCAACAACAATGCAGCGCCAGCGCCCGTGAGCAACAGTACCCCCAGCAACATCACCGATGCGGCCGTCCCTCGGGCAGGCACAAGGATCGGACGTAGCAGCAGTGGTGACAGTGTTGCCAACAGCAACGGTAACAACAATCCTAGTACCCCGACCAATGAAGAGGCAAAGAAAACAGAAACCAACATCTAGACTTTTATGAAGCTGAGTAGTTAAAGAACTGAATCGGAAAAGAATACCTTTAGTTCTTCTGTAGATGAACTGGGTACATGGAAAAGTGAATGTCAATATAATTCACAAACTGTATAAAGGAGGAAAATCTTTTGTTCTACAATAGATGTATTGGTCTATGGAAAAGTGAAAGTGAAGCTTAATAATGATCTGCCATCTTTTTGATGGATCATGTGAGATTTGTTGGGGGCTCCACTGCATGGTTCTGTCTGTAACCTTAATGTGAAAATGAGCTGAGATGATAAGGTACAGAAAGCATTTCTTTATTTTACAGTGCATCTTGATTTTCATAGAGAGAGTTTTGTTGTCAACTTGGATATGCATCGTAAGATTTTCACTGATTTACGAGTCGTTGATGGAGGCCCTGGTGTAGTCCGCTTCTATTTTTATTACCAGTGTTTCCATTCTCGTGATCCGTTTCTTGCAAACATAGGATTTTTTCGCTCTGACTCTATGTAATCTACAGCTTGGTTCTCTCTCGATTCGCACTCACGGTTAAGTGAGTGATGGCAGTATGTGCATCCGTGGCAGCAAATGCTTCTGTCCGTAAGAGGACATGCGTGATAAGTGAAGTGGTTCTGGGCCATGGAGTCAATGGGGTGCTCGAGACTATCAATTATTTCGTTGGCTTTCTTTGTGAGGGTCTTGAGTTTATAGACACTGTGGCTCATGGTTTTCTTCTGTGACCAGTACTGCTGGATGTGGAGCATGAAATTAGCTAAATGATTATGATAATAATAATACATGGCATTTATACAGCACATTTCCATAATTTACTATCCTGAATGTGCTTTACAAGACATTATTAGTAGCTTACAGATGTATTAAGATACATTCATGTACAAGGGCACACAAAATGACACATACGGATTTACGTATAAATGCATGTATTCAGGAATATAGGCAGTGATGGATAAGTATAGAAACAATTTATGTAAATAAGTTTAAGAAAAATGGACCAGATGAAAATGCTGCGAACAACTGAATTGTTACAACGTAATATCTCAGTCTACTACACAGAAGCTTTTTAAAGATATATGGTACTAGAAGTATTCAAAGGCATCTTGGTGGTCTAGCAGCCTCTCCCTCTCACTGGTTTTTACCGCTTCCTTTCTTTTTAAGTCAGGTAGCATGTTTTGGGAAAACTTGGAGGCATTGCAAAAGATTCTTTTGTTGAAGTCTAGCAAGTAAAGAATTGCAGAAATCTAATCTTGACAATACAAGTGATATTGCTAGTATTCTGGTTATATTTTTGTGAAGGTACTTTCTTATGCTTCCTATTTTCCTGAGCTGGTTGTAAATTCATTTGCAAAGCTCTCTTTCATAGAAAGACACGGACAGATTGTGGTCAAGAACTATGCCAAGGATTTTTACTTTGTTGCTGTCACTTATTCCATGACCATTGATGTCATACCATACTGTTGTATGGTGTGGATGACAGGACCCAGGTTTGAATCCTCGGTGAGGCAGACATCCTTGAATTTGGTTTGTTTGGGGTTTTCAAAGCAGTCCACCTACCTGGATAAGTCCATTTGGAGATGAACATTGAATTTGGTATTTATGCCCTTTTAATAACCTTACAGTGTTGAAAGGTGTCAAGCTCTTTCAATTTTTTATTACTGCTATAATTTGTGGTGTAGTGAGTATACTGGCAGTGAGCCTGATAAAGTAATAAAGCACGCATGGTTGGCTGGATAGCTATATAAAGTTCTGATTGTTGGAATAAAACACATAGGTGGGCCAGATTGTGTGCGGAGTGGGTTTGATAGATGCCATGAAGAACTTCAACTTAAAAAAAATATCCATTTAAAACAGCCTAGCCATATGATGCCAAATCCATGAGGACCAGGCAAAATGCCTTCCCTGGTCAGTTACTGACCCCTGCTTTTGAGCCTCACTACATTGTCAGCAAATATATGTATATATTCGTATGTGTGAGCTGTACTACAGAATATGATATTTTTCCTATTCGTTTTTAACAAACACTTTGAATGTACAGTGTGCTTTGGTGTATGAGAATTTTTATATAAAGCACTTATATATGAGTTTTTTATACTTCTAGTATCATTTTCCTTTTGTTTGAGGATTTTTTGTACTAGGCACCCCTGTGAGTTTTGTACAATTATGGTGTCTGCGATGTGTGGAAGTCTTTGTATCAAAAACTTCTGTGTGAGCTTTGATCTATTCTGATATCTGTTGGAGGAGATATGCCAATTATTTGCCGTGAAAATGGTAGTTGCTATGGTGCTGACAAGTATATTTGATGAAATTAAACTTCTGCTGCAATCAGATTGGATCAGTGCTTCCTGACCTTTGTCTGTCATTTGCTTCAGCATTGCGGCAAAACTTCATCCAAGCAGATTCAATTTTGTTTTGTTTTCAGTCAGTCTCCCCCTGCAGTTGAGTTCACTCACCTCTCAAGTAACTTTGGTTCCTTATGGATTTTTGCTTCTCGCTGTAATTTTCAAGCTTAGTCAGTTTTTCTGCTGTATAAGCACCTAGGTTATATTATATTTTTAGAAAAATTATAGTAGAGGGTTTTTACGGCGCTCGCAACTGCATAAGATCATATGAGCGCCATAAGTTGTGTTGCTAGACACATCCTTTTTTATAGAGCTACAGCTGGTAAGCTGCTTAAGGTTCAGTTCACCATCCATTTGAATGCTAAAAATAACTTTAAGGAATTTCATTGAGCTTCATTGTTACCAGCCTCTTTGCCCTTAGCCTGTTCCTTGATCTCTGGGTTTTAAAAGCTCATGGACATAATTATGAAATAGTTCAACTCACTTTTGCTGTAACAAAGTGCATGAGTGAAGAATCTGTGTCCAGGTTTTTTTGTTTTCACTTGAGTTTTAGTGGTAGCACTTTGATAGTTTCCCTTCACAGCCAGAGTGTGGCATGATGTGGGATTTTGTGAGGGGCCTTTCCATGATTTTGTTGATGTGAAATCTGGTAGGTTTGTTTGTTTTTTCTTCTTTTCGAGATATAACGGTTTTGTGTGACCTATAGATTTTCCTTGGTACAGTATTAGTGAGCTATTTTGTGCAGCTGATAAAAGTTTTCCTTGACATTTCTATAGGATAGGGGTAAACTGTTTTGTTACAGTCGTGTGTAGTTTATGCTCTTTTGCTATCACTTAAGCCCTTCTGTATTGCAGGTTTGCTTGTTTTCTTCTCGTGTATTTGGGTAGTTTAGATTTTGGAGGTTTTAAAAAAAATATTTAATGATTCAACCCATACACCTCATGCCAGGTAACTCAAAAATGTGTTTTTAAATGTTGAATCTAATGGCGTCCTTTTGATTCCTGGCCCCATGAACTGACAGGCCCTGGCACTTGAGCTACTGTGGGTCGACTGCTATGTTCTCACCCACTGAGGGTTTCACTCAGTGCACAGAAGGGGCCATTGGGTTAAGTTAATGGGATAATGAGAATGTGAGACTGCTATTGCGTTCAGTGCTGGCCCTAGAATATGACTTGACTTGTTGACTCACCTCTGTGTGAAGTAGCTGTCTCTGACTGGACTCTGTGCCACAGGGCTAAGCGGCGCAGAGAAGCTCTGAAATGTTGAAGGATTCCAATCTCAGATTCCACTGGAACAATTTGCGCTGAGGAATTTTCCATTCCAAAAATGTAAATGTAAAGATGCCCATAGTTCTTTTGTGTGTGTGCACGCACGCGTTAGTCGGAGAAGGAAGATTGAAGTGAGAGGGGCGTAATGCGACTCGTGGATGGAACAAATTTATTTTCAGTCCAGATGGTGGCACTTTGCTGACCTTGGAGGGAATCTTGTTTCAGGAGCAGAAACTGTGCCATGTTATGGGGTGTGTTGAGTTGTTGTAGTTGTTATGCCAGCATCGAAATCAAGGACTTTGTGTATAGTTTATATGGCTGAAAGAGAATTTATTACTTCTCGCAGGTACATTGTCGGTTTATGAAGCACAACATAGGTGGGGAAGTTCCTTGCTTTGAATCCTGCTGTGTTGTGCGTATTTATGTCATTATATTATGTCTTGACAAAAGAGCTGCTTGTTTTATATATCTGTAACACAGAAAACCATATTTTGATGCAATGCTAATATTTATAAATGTACAGATGACACTGTAAAGGACTCTTTTCGAAGATGACTCATTTTTGTTGTTGTTGTGTATATTGTATTATGATTTGAGATAATTTTTATACAGATGTGTTTGTATGAGTTCCAGGGCTTGTGTTGTGATTGTAGGATGGTATATTTTTCTAAGCTTGTAGTTATGGATCTGGCTTTTCTTTTCAATTATTTGCTATATGTCCGGTGTTTCTCTCCTGAGGCATTCTACAACTGTTTCTGGAACACAATGTGTCCTCATCTTTGCATTCTCTTGTGGTCATGAGGGGAGAACAAAGGTTAGAGACTGGAGAATGGTTAGTGTGTACAACTGATTTTAGTTTTATAATGTGTACTCTGGTTCTTGGTTTTATAGTGTGTAATCGATTTCTTGGCTTAGTTTAACTGAGTTTCGACGTGCCTAATGTTATTTTGTTGTTATTCTGTGTGAAGCATTATATATACCCTTTAGTAATTATAGATAAGTACCGCTTTTGTGTGTTCATGTGCCCAATAGCTACAATGATACACACCAGAGGGATGTTGGGGACTGCGAAATAAAATATTAAAGTTGTTTTCTTTTTAAAAATCAACAGGGATTAAAAAGAGAATTGGGCAAATTGTATGAAACAATGTTTCTCTTTCTGACATTCATGTTCTTTCAGTCTTGAGTAATCTTTATTTGTCTATTTTTCATGTAAAAGGAGATTCTTTTTTGTAGGCTTGCTGCTGCTTTCTTCTTTTTGTTCTACTATTTGTTGGCTGCTCCGACTTTGGTGTGTTCATTTATTCAAAGTAATGCGATGTGGCTAATTTTATTCATTGAGTTGGAAGGCCATTTGCTGTCAATATTGCTTTTGAATTGTCTCCAATGTAAGGTCTGCATTTTAGAGAAAGTAGTTGAAACACGGGGTGACTCTTTGTCCTCTAAAATGAGTTTGAGTGATGGAGACATTTTTTCTACTGCATAAGATTTTTTTTTTTTAAATCAAGTAAGCAGTCTTTGCTGTGCCAACATGTATTTGGTCTTTGTTAATTGTAAAACTTAAAACACGAAGAGAACTTCATGACATGAATTTTTCGACAGAGATAGAGGAGAAAGCGGCTAGACTAAAAGCTGGTTTATGTATAGGGATTGGGAATAAAGTGTGTGACATGCGGTCTGCATAGTGAAAACATAGCCTGGTCTGAACTATTTACAGTATTATTTGCACTGCCAAACCTAGACTCCACGCTTTTTGATGTATGCGCTTTTGGTTGTGGTTTTTATAGGTGTAATAGTGGGAGAGAGTCTGAACTTGTGCTGGGCTGGTCAGAAGTCACGGCCAGGTCTTTATGTCATCCTTGTATGTTCTTGAAGAATCTTAAAGAATGGTAGGAAAAAAATATACGGAGGTGTGGATAAAGTTTGGACATCTTTTTGAACGGTATTTTAGGAAAGTAGCTCAAGGTTTTGCTCGTTCATGCTTCAACATGAACATTTCTACTAGAAAAAACAACATTATAGTTACACATGTACAAAAGTGTTCACTTATTTAATGGGGCTTTAAGTAGTGATCAGATCTTTTGTGTCCTAGGTTCACTTTAGTTTTCCATATATGAAAAGAAGTGTTGTCTCAGAGGTTAGTGTGGTTCAGGCCCGAGGAAGACCTAGAACAACATAACATGTCCATCACAGACGCTACACACCTAACACAGGACCGAAACCTGCACCTCCCTCAACACCGTAAGGATACCAGAGGAAGGAAAAAAGTAAAAGTAAGAAAAGTTTGGTTCAGAGGGTTACAGGTGTGGATCTACAGGCATCTGTGGTGTAGCTGGTAAATTCACTAGAAAATGCTGAAAATCTTAATTTGACACCTGCGAGGGAAACATTTTTTATCACCCAGCCTTGATGAGCCCTGAGGGGCAGGGTGGACATTAGATTTCAAGATCAAGAATTTCGTTGTTGTTTCCTTTCAGGCATAGATCTGTTGGTAAAATTGATCTTTTGATAATTGGCTTGGTCATGGGTTTTTTGACTCTCCCTGTACGAGGAAATGTAAGGTCTCAGGCACGAATGTTTTGTGTACCTTGTTTAGGGAAGGGTTGGAAAGTTCGACAGTTGCATTACTTCTTTTTCTGTGTCTCTTTGTGACTTTGGTCTGTTGTATCTGGGTTTTTTGGGGTTATTTTTTCATAACACTGTAATATGATTGATCTATTCATCTGTTTCTCTGTAATTTTATGATTTAGGGAACAGGAATCCTGCTAGATCCCTGCTTTGGATGTGTGAATCTATGAACCCACAGCTGTGAGATTTGTTTGTGTGATAATTAAATCATTCTAGTCTGAAAGGTCAGAGGTTGTGTCAGAAATGTTTATATTGGAAGGCAGACATGAGTGAAAGCGAGCGATGCTCACCCCTATATAAGAATTAGACTGCTAAAATATGTGAGAGATGGTGGGAATTATTACTGCTATCATGTATGACAATTCATCTCATTTAATCAAAACTCAAATTGTATTTTGGTGTGTGCAGCCCAAGGCACTTTAGCAACATTTTTTTGTCTTTTTCTTTGCTTTAGGGCTGCTGATGCTGTATGTGTGTGTGTGTGCGCGCGCTTGTGTGTGTGTGTGTGTGTGTCTCTGTGTTTGTGTGTGTGAATATTGTCGCCTCAGAATTATTTTGTTAAAGGTGCCTCTCTGATTTAAGTACACTTTGGACCAAATAATTCTGAAGCGACGATATGATTAGAGAGAATGGAGTGATAATTATGTGGGGTTATTTACAAGTACTGTAGTGTAGGCCTTTCCACCAGGTATGGAAATGGGTGGGTGGGTGGGGGAGGGGGGGGGTATGATATCAGTGACCTCCCCACTCTCATGTTTTAAGAAGCACAAATCCTTCTGTTGGTGTTAATTTTCTGTAGATATACACAAGCAGGCAAGGTACTTATATAACTCTAATTCTTTCTAATGGGACTACTCTATTACTTTGCCTTTCTGTATGTATTGTAGTTTTTTTGTTTATTGTTGCGAGTTGGGGAGCACATAAGGTAAGATGATTCCTGGGTCAAGAAAGTAACATGACTTACAGGAGAAGCTGCTTCGCCTCTGTACCTCTGTGCTGTTTTCACACAAAGCTGCAATTCTTAAAAGAAGATAAGATTTCAATTAAATTGTTTTGGGTTTTTTAAAATGTGGAATTGTGTAATACCCAAGACTGAATTTTGGGAGGGTCGAGTGCATCATGTGCATTTCGATTGCTCTATATAAGACTCTGACATGCTTCATTTTTCTGAATAGGGTTTGGCGAAGTCTAACACTGTGCAGTTGATTTTCAGTTGGAGGATGTGTGTGTGAATGAGAACGTTGCTACTGCTTGCTGTGACGTACCTCGAGAATAAAACCATGTATACATCTGTGTAGTCCTCGCTCATGGTGGTGACCCTAGCTGCTCTTGCTCATCTACTACAAAGCTACTCCTCACGCTGACTTTTTGTTGTTTTATATACATATACACACGTATATCATTGATATATACTGTAATATTATGCATATATGTCATACACCAGTCACATAAATACATTTATATATATTGACATAATATTGCTATGACATTGCATTGCTGCTTGCCTGTATTATTTGTAAGTTTTACAATTTTTATGAATATTTTTGTACAAGTGCGTAGGTCTTCGTTCTCTACCATTATTTGTAAATCCATTTAATGCTGTCGTGCGTCTATTTTTGACTCATTGTTCTCATCGTTCTTTTCAACTTGCCTGATCCTGGATTCAAGCACGCATCTCTTCTTTCTCCACCCACCTTTCCTTTCCCCCACTTTAAAAAAAAAAAAAGAATTGATCATGGGATAGCCTTATTTTCATGAGTGCATTATACTTGGAAAAATTTTGTACCTTTGAATTCTATGTCTGTTTTGTATCAGTGTTCTTCATTCGTTGTGTTCTCTTGACCCGACAAGAGCTGACTTAACTTCTACTCCTGCTCTATTGCTCGCCCCCCCCCCGAATCATATTGCTCATTGTAATATCCTTGCTCCTGAGTCTGTTTTTGTTCAGTCTTCTCATGCTTATTGAGTGTAAGGAGCAGTTTGATCTATGATGGGCTGTAATTTTGGTTGAAAAATTCTCATTTTACTTTCTTTTCCTGCTAGAGTCTCTCGAATTAAGTGCTATGACTGCAAGTATAATTTGCTAATGTGAGTCAAATTTGAACAGTATCACTTGTAAAAGATCTGTACAACCTTTTTTTCCTAGTGAATGAAATAGCTTGTTTATGTAGCTTTATTAAGGAATATACATGTATTGGTATTTTGAAACATTAAATTGTTAGTTTTGTCATATATATTATACTGATACTGAAGAGTAGACATGTTGTGAGCTGAATGGGGGTGTCAGAATTTATAATGATATAGACATAGTTAATCGTGACCTATTTTTGAACTATTCCTTCGGATGTTTTAAGCTCAATGGTGAATTTTGTGAGATTTAAATATTGAATAGCACATAGAGTTTTTTTGCCGATTGTCGGGAAACAATAGAAATGATATGTTATCTTTTTTCAGCAGTTAGTAGGAAGGGAGGCAGATGGGAGAGGAAGCAAAATTTTGTTCAGAATTGGAACAATGTAGGCAAAAAGAATATTGGAGGGTTGACTAAGAAACTTAACTCTTTAAACCCCATCGGACATTGGGGGCGTCCGACGGTAATAACCCTGTTCCCCTCAGCGTCCCGATACTAGTAACAACATTTTCGTTTTATTTAGTGCTAGTATTTGCTTGTTTTTCTGAACTATTCCAAAACCAAGTCTTTTGGTATGACTAAGCATTTTTTTCCGCCATTTAGAAGTTGGAGGCAAGCTTTTGGGGTTATAGTGAGACATAGTGTGCCAGGTTTAGGTGACTGTAGAAAAGTCTCCGGGAAACGGTGGAAAAAACTCAGGGTTTAAATAATTAAGCAAAGTTCCGTGATGTTTCACGTTCACATGTTCATGATAATGGCCAGTGTTCACAACTGTGCTTTCAATACTTTCATGTCTGTCTTACATTTCTGTAGTGTCAGTAGAAAATCAAAACTTACTGCAGTGATTAGGGTTTTTTTAAATATGCTTTTAAAGCTGTTGTTTTTAACTATTTTCATGCACATTTTTGCTTCATTGCCTCTGAAAATGGGACACCCCC